CCATCCTCCTACCTCAGTCTCCCCAGTTCCTGACATTACAGGGCGTGTGCCACCACACCCGGCTCTGGTCCAGCTTTTGAACATGGGTGCTGCTCTCACTGGATCCTCAAAACGAGGTTTTTCTCATCAATCAATTCAAATCAAAGCCTCCCAGATCCCTTTGGAAAGCTCACTGAGCTTCTGGAAAGAGCAACCTCCTAGGGCTGCAAGATTCCCACTGGGGAGCTTCCAGAGAACCCCTTAGTGACATTCCCAAGCAAGTGAAGACGACATTTACAAGTGGGCTCACCCAGGGTTCCTTTTAGATGAAACCAGATCTGGTTCTTGCCAGAGACCAGCTGAATTCTGTGGAATTAGCTCATGGGGCTGTCCTTGGAAAAGACTCATCGTGTATCACTTTTCTTAGAGATAAGACATTTCCTTTTCCCCCAAGGTGCCAGGATCTCTACGTTGACATAATTCTGCACAAATCACTCTGGTGGTGTAACTTAGAGTGGCCCAATCCCCTTTGGACCCTGGCCTCTGTAACTGGGCCATCACTCACTTAGTCTCACCTTATCTTTAAATAAATGTAACCAGAAGGGACTTGTTCGCCTCGCCACCTCTTGAGTGATGTGAATTATTTATAGTGTCTTCATACGCATTCGTTAAGCCGCACAGAACCAAGTGCAGAGGAACCGTTGGTCTCCGGTTCCGCCAGAAGGGTGAGACCGCAAGGTCGGGGTGAGTAGCAAGAACATCCCGAAGATTTCCCCTGGCTTGGTCATGAAGAATAGGGATCACCTGGGGTTTGTTGTCTCTGGCAGGATCCGGGGCAGTTGAGTTTCAACAGGGAGCGACTGAGGCGTCCCATCAGGAAAAGATGGAAGCCCTGGGGGTCAGGCCCACAACCGCCTGACCCTCAGCAGTAAGCCCCACGGTGCAGGCTCTGAAATGAGGGCCTCTCTGAGCTGCGAGAAAAAAACATATGGTTAATAAAAGGAGGTGCAGGAAAAAAAACCTGCAGCTGCCTCAGAATTTCCAGGAAGAAAATCATTCTGGAATGATCCCTAACACAAAGGCACGTCCTGGTTAATTGAACATTCTGGTTAATAAAGGTTGACCACATGGTACTGAGAAAAGGATGAGGTTAGGAGTTACCAGGGCTCTCCTGAAGCCTTACCTGGCCTCATCTGCCAAGGAAACACGATGTTGTCTGCCACACATGCTGGGTGGGAAGAGGAAATGGAATAATCGACCCAGGAGGGCTTTCTGAACTCCAAGGTGTGACGTCACTGTCAGCTATGCACTGATGTCACTGATGGGCAAATTTCAAACCATAAAACTCGGGGACTATCTTCTTTCCCTCAGCCTTCGCCTGAGCCTGCTCATTTTCCCATGGGAATTCAGAAGGCATGTCTCCCACCCCACCCCACCCCCAAGCGTCTAGCCCTGGCTGTGCCTAGTAATTACAGCCAAATAAACTTCCTGGGTATTTGAGATTTGCTTGCGATTCTGGTTTCACAAGAACCGTCCCTGATTCCCATGGGACCCTAGAAGAGTCAACCTGGAAGGGAAGCTAATGGGAATTATCTCGTCCAGATGGTTCACTGTGTCCTGTAGAATCTTTTTGGGGACCCTGGGTGGGATCAGGGGAAGCCAAGGGCTTTGGGGGCTCCTGGTGTTATGAAAGATTCATCTGGTATGTGATGAAAGACTCTTTTCTTAAAAGGATTGCAAAACTAAAACAACTTAAAAAAAAAAAAAAAAAACCAAGATAGTCTGCACACCTGGAAGAAAATTAAGGCTAGAGAGAAAGAGCTTCCAAAAGAGCTTCATTGACCTTGAGACTCTCTCCAGGACGCAGCCATTGCCTTGAGTGTATCCTCTTGTATCTCCAAATGCCAAGCTGGAGTGTCTCAGTGGTAAGAGGCTGGGCCCACTGAGGTTACCAGGAAGGGACGTGTCCTCTGTTTCCCGGGGCGGGGGGGGGTGGAATAAAACGGGTTCTCCCCCATCTTCCATGTGCCTGAATATTTGGATTGCAGATGCTGCTGGACGGATGATGGGGGGTTACATCCTGAGGAATCTACCCAAACGTGGAAAACATCATAATTCGAGAATGCATGCATTACCCCTAACCTAAGGAACACCCTGGCTCAGCAACACAGTGCACCTCTGAGCATTGGTTTCCTCTTGTAATGGCTTGACTGATGGTGGCTGTGCAGCATCCCGAGTGACTACCACATGACACTAAGCCAGGAAGAGGTCGGAACTCCAGAAAGCACCACTCCTCCCTACTGCATCTTGTTTCCACATTCTCCTGAAGTTAAACACCCTAAGCCACACCTTTGTACGTCCGGGACGATCTGTGCTTCCATGTGAGGGAGGGGGGCACCTGTCCTAAAAGGCAGGCTCCTTATTGTCTCAGAATCTCCCTACTCCCTGGAGGGAGTGGGCTCACCACCGGGTATCTCACGACATTCTGCAAAAGCAACAGGAAGGCTCTGAAACCGTCTAA